ACGAAAACATTGGATTGGTCCTGTAATGACTCGCACAATGACCCAGCAGAAGCTAAGGTAAGCAGCGTGCTAGGCTGCTTGGTGACCGAGCAGGGTGCTTGCTCTGGTCGTGGGTAGATCGTGGGTAANCCCGTGTCTGGGTCGTGCCCGAGTGTGTCAACCACACGCCAGTGCGTGTTGCGCACACGCCTGGTCTTAGGCATCATCACCACCTCGTGTCGAGCCTAGGACGTTACCCGCAGGTGAAGAATGGGCAAGTGGCCGTGAGCTGTCCAGCTGCTTCACCTGCTTGGGCGCGCCTATTTAAAGGTCGGNCCGACCTAGTAAGCAGGAGACACGAGAATTTCTGCCTTGTCCGAACATAACTTCTTTTCACCGCAAACTTTCATTGCAAACGCTAGCCTAGTTCGTGATCGTCCCATCCGAACCGAGTAGTCCATTTTCTGGTCCACCGCGAACCATAGAGTAGTTTCGCCGCGAGCCTTGTCGAGCAGGTTTGAGAAAACTTAGGGTAAGTTTCCCGTGATCGAACCTTACCATTTTCAAAGTGATTTTTCGTGCTGATCATGAATCTAATCTTAGTTTCTTGATCCGATGGTTCGACTGATCTCAAATTCATAGGTTCAACTTCAGCTAAGCTCCAAAAGATCTAGAGAGGGTCTGCGGCAGGTTCCGTTCTAAACTAGGTATGATCCGTGGGCGTTCCCATCTAATTTTCCATGCGAAAATTCTAAGTCTTGCCTTAGTAATCCGTGAACTTTTGGAACAGATTTTTAGCTCAAAGTCTAAGGCAAAGCCATTCGTAGGAAACTTTGGGCAAAACCGCGACCTTTCACTAAGTCAAATGTGAGTCTTGGTGATGCTTGTTGAGTGTTTAATTAAATTACAAGTGAGGTTCGTTGCTGCGTGATTTATATTCTTGCTAAGTATTTAAAAGCTTTAGCATGTGAAAATTACTAAGTTGGATTGTTGATGCATATTTATAAGTTTNNTTATAACCTANGTTGANANTAAGANTTATAAATTATNATGATNNCGGTAAGACNTTCCCTTGAAAGCCATGACTTAGCTAGTACGTTGAGTATTAGTCTAAGTACATGAAGACACAGAGAGACGGGATTGCAGTCTTTGGCCGTGTACTGCATGACGATGCAGAATTTGCGGTGCGGATCCTTATACACATAAGGCCA